AGCCCTCCACCTGCACCAAGGCAACCACTCCTGCCTAGACAGCCCCAGCGGGCAGGGGCCAGTGTGCACAAGAGCTGTGAAGCTGGCCTCCTTAGTGCCAAGGGGCCATGTTGGGGCGGGGAGTGCAGGGAAGAAAGCCAAGGCCTGGTCTACCTGAGGAGGTGGGCGCTGCCGACCCCCGCCCAGCTCTCCAGACCTGGAGGAGACCATGACCAAAGGGAAACGCAGGAGAACTGGGGCCAAGAACCGGTGAAGCTGTCCCCAGCGCCGTTCCACTGGCCCAAGACAGCGGGGCGTGGAGGGCAGGGGGCAGCCTGACCGCCCCTGGAGAGCCCTAGGCCGTCAAGAGTTTGCCCAAATCAAGGCGGCCCGCCTTCCTGCTGTCTGTTGTTGGGGGGCTGTCTCCTCTGAGCCGGCATCCCTGCCCCCACCCCAGGGCGCCCCCCATGCCAGCTCAGACGCCCCACGCACCCCGCGCGCGGGCCAGGCGGAGGGGAAAGTTGGCGAGCGCGCGGCGCCCGCGGGGGAAAGCGTTAATGGGCGGCCGGGTGGGAGCAGCGCGCTCGCTCGCCCACGTCACGCCGGTGCGGGCTCGGCTGACGACCGCGGCGCCTGGGGACGCCGGCGCGCTCCGCTCGCCAGGTGCTCCGCCTGGAAATGTCTCCATTAGTTGTCGCCTGCTCCCCGCCGGAGCGCGCGCGCCGAGCGGCCGCGCAGAGCCCTCGCGGGCGGCCGGTAGTGGCCGGGCGCCACCGCAGGTAGGCGAGGTCCCCGCTCCCGCCCCCGCCCCGGGGCTCCGAGACCCCTCCCCCCTTCCGGGGAGGCGGAGGCTCGGCGCGGGCGCCGAGGGGCTCGGGCGGCGGCGACTGCGGCGACTCCCCGGTGCGTCCCGGGCTGCGCGCTGCTCCCCGCGGCCCCGGCGCCGAAGCGGCGCGGGCGGGCGCGTCCCCAGCGCAGGTAGGGAGTGGGCTCGGCCGCACAAACTTTGCCAGGATCGCTTCTGCGCCGCAGGGCGCAAAGTTTGCTGCCAGCCGCTGGGGTCTCCAGAGGCCGCCGCGTTCGCTGCAAGTTGTGGAAACGGGGGGGCGGGGGCGGCGCAGGGCGCGGGGGCCAACGCGGGGCAGCCGGGCCTGCTCCCGGACGCCCCGACTGCGCGCCTTTCCCGCTCGGGCGGCGCCCTGCGGGCGAGCGGCGGCGGCGCGGCGGGAGAGCCGGAGCCCGCCGACCTGGAATGGAGGCGTCTCGGGAGCCGGATTCAGAGCGCTTGCCCGCAGCTCGACAGCCTGACTTCGCGTGAGACCCGCAGGACCGGCCGCGGAGGAGTGACCTGCCGACCTCGGGGCTCGCGAGTGCCGCGCCCCCGCTCTCCAGAACGCCTTCCAGCCCCGCACCCCACCCGGGTGTCCGCGAGCAGTGGGCGGGCACAGGCGCCCCAGGGGCTGGCCTGCGCCTCTGCCGAGGCCCCTGCCTGGCTCTGCGCGCTCTAGCCTCCGCCCTCTGCCTGGGGTCAACTTTGTTGGGGCGGAGAGAGCCCCTGGCGGCTCTCGGTGCGGAGAAGCCAGTAGCCCTGGGGGACGACTTCGGGAACAGACCGGGAGCGCCTGGCCTCAGTCGGTCTCAGGGGGGAGGGCGGAGAATATCAGGGCGCGGCCTAGCTCCCAGAGGCCCTCCGCGGCCTACAGCACCTCCCGGCCAGAAGGGCTCGCGCAGGCCTCTAACCTAAGGCGCTGGCTCTCCTCAGGCCCCTTCGGCCCGTGGCTCCTTTAGCACTCACCAGGCCAGTAGGCGCACGTCCGGGAAGCTGCGCCGCTGCCCTGTTGGAGGGGAACCTCTCCTGGGTGTATTCAGAACCCAGGGTCCCTGCAGGGACATGGGTTCAGCTTGCGAGTCTATGCAGGCACATTTAGCTGCTGATACCTGAGATGTTCACACTCTTGCTCTGTCCTCTCTTAGAGGGAAACCTCGGGGCCTCAGCTCAAGGCTGGGCCTTTCAGGAAAGGGCACTCGGATATTATTGCGGTATCTTCCCCGGGACAAAGCGAACCCAGAAAGTATCCCGGTTCCAGGGGGCCGGCCTCAGGCAGGGCGCTGGTTGTCAGCGGGATGCCCTGGGGTGCTCCAGATGGGAGACAGGCCTGACGGACCCTGAACCCAGCACTGGATAGCAGGGCCTAGACCCCTCCGGCAGCACAGAGCTTCCCCAAACAGGGCGGCCATCCAGGCCCCCGTGTCACAGGCCTGGGGCAGCGTGAAGCAGGGGATCAGTGTGCAATGGCCTTGGAAAGTAGCCGGTGAGCTTGATTTCTGATTAGAAGAAAAGGTTGCCTGGAGAACCGGGCTAGGTGGGTGGGGACTGGGAGCTCCTATTTAGGCGGGCGGGCTGGAAAGGAAATTGCGGCAGTGATGGTCAAAGGAGGCCCTGGGCACCCCTCCCCCAGAGGCCCCCGGAGAGGGCTGCGCTGGAAGGCTGGCACTTCTGCTCAGAAAATAAAGGGTCCTGTGTTCAGGGGGCGCCGTTCCCCGTGAGCTGTGGCCGGTAAGGAAAGGGCCTGGGTGCGCTGCTCTGTGCAGGTTGCGGAGCCCCGAGCCGCCAGGCTGCTGGGGCTGGGCGCTGGCTGTCCGCAGAAGCCTGAGCGCTCGCTCGCAACGCCGGGGTTGGGCCTTGGGGAGTGGGGTGAGGGAAAGATGCTGAATTCATCCTTCTCTCGCCATTACTGCTCCCTGAACCCCCGACCACCGTTGGCTCCGGCCCCTCCCTCGCCCCGGCCTCATTACCAGGAGAGAGCGAGCTGTTTGTAAACAATAAATAATGGAAAGTAGGGGATGTTCAGAAGAGCCTCCGCCGCGTGAAGCCGGCAAACTGGAGGTGGGAGGTGGGAGGAGGGAGGGTGGGGGAGGGGAGGAGCAGAGGAGGAAGAGGGAGAGAGATGGAGAGATTCATTTCTGGCGGAGAAGCCCCGATGGCTAGTTTCTGATTATTTACAGGAGGTGATATTAGCAATTCAGGTGAGAAAGAAAGAAACACGGCCGCCATGAGATCAATACAGAATTCAGAAACAGTTATTAATGTCATTTGACTCGTGTTTTTTATATATCTCTCCCGGCTACAGACGCTTAAACTGTCTGAATAATTTGCATGGAACGGCTATTCATTATTTCCGATGATTTTCCTTCGCAAGCAGCTCGGACGTGGCCGGCTGTGGTTCAACGCGATCGGAGAGTTCGTATTTTCATCTGTAAATTAAAGCAATTACGCAGCAGATATCATATGATGCGTACTGTGGTCTCCAGATAGTCATCAATCACCTTCAACCGAGCTGTCAGAGCGGGCAGATTTCGTTTCTGGGAGGCAGGTTTGCAGCTGGGGAGAGGGCGAGAACGTCATCATTAATTAGAGGGTGACCCTGGGGCGATTCACAGGTCTGAACCCAGGAATCTTTCCGAGCAAGTCTGCACAACGCCGCCGCGCATAGCTCCCCTCCCGGCCGACCGCGAGAGGCCCAGCGGGGCGAGAGCAGCAGAGGCAAGCCAGGCCCCCGGAGGGCGGCGGCATAAAAGGCGGGGAGCGAGTTCCGGGTGCCCGGGCGCCCCTTTGCCGCCTGCGCGCTCGCCTCTGTTTTGGATTCGGGCAAGGTCCCAAGACACGGGCTGAATGGGGAAGTCCTGGGGTGGGTACTCGGCCGTATTTCCAGCCTGCTCCATGAGCCCCGGGCACGGAGCTATGCAAAAGGGGCGGGGAAGGGCGTCCCGGCGCTCCCTCCCCGGTACCTAACCCTGAGGGTCGCCGGGAGGAGCAAGCGTAGCGGGAGGGGCCCCGGAGCGGAGTCGGGAAACCTGCTCTTCGAGCGCGCAGGGGTGTCTGGCAGTCCCGGGTTTAGCCGCGAGGGGCAGGGGGAGGCTGAGGGAGGGCGGCCCGCGCAAGGCGGTGGAAGAGGAAAGGGAGGGCCGTTCGCTGCGCAGCAACCCGCAGGACCTGGGGTGGGACCAAGGAGGGGGTGTTCCCTGGGGACAGGGCTGCGGGGAGTCGCAAAGCCCCCCAGCACTTGGGGCACCCACCCCTGGAGGAGATGACTCTGGGAAGGGCCTCAGGACCCACACGCCTGAGGGCACGTTGACCTCCAGACGCGGACACTCGCAGCCGCACTGGGGCCTGGAACTCCGCCCCGGAGCAGGGTTCGAACTGGCGGGAGGCGGAGCGGCTGACCCGCCGAACAGCGGTCGGAGCTGCGCGCGGGCCGGCGGAGCTGCCGTCCTCCACCTGGAGCGGGGCGCGGAGGCCCGGGCGGCTGGCCGCCTGTGCCGGCGCCGGCTAATTTTAACTGTTGATTACATCTTCGGTGAAGACTCAGTCGTGTGTCCCTTCACATGTCTCATTTGTAATTGAGACTAATGATTACAGTGGGGCGGGAAGGAGCAGGTGCTCATTAATTAATTTCTAATTAAAAGTGCTTCCCGTCCTCGGTGACTAAGGAGAAACAGCAATTCGTCGGGGCGATATTGACTCCACGGATGAAATTCATTTGTTAGAGCCTGTTGGCCCCTTCGCCCCGCGCGGCGCCCCCAGCCCGTCCCCGCCCCGCCGCCCGGCCGCCGCGAGTGACCCGCACGTCTGCGGCCGGGCAGAGCTGCGCGGCGTGGGCTGACGTCAGCGCCTCCGCCGCTTAAAGCCAAGCACATCTGACTTGACGGGTTCGCGCAACTCGGTTTTTTTTTTCCTTTTTTGCAAAATATGTATTTGTGTCGCCGCTGCGAGGCCAGTTGGTCCCAGAGCCCCCTCGAGGCTCGGGAATGTGAAGCTAAAAGGCTCGCTGCGGCCGCTGCGGCTCCCTTTCCCACCGGGTTAGAAAAGTTTGCGGGGCACGTGGATGAATTAACCCGCTCTTCTGCTTCGCCCTCCCAGCGCCTAGGAGCCGGCGGCCCCGGAGCAGTGGCCGCGCCACGCCGGCCACCGCGCGCAGGACACCGCCGGCCCCGCCCGCCGGCCCCGGGCGGCGCCCGCCATGTCCTACCCGCAGTTTGGATACCCCTATTCCTCCGCACCCCAGGTAAGGGACCTCACGAGGGTGCGGGGAATGCGGCGTTACACACTGGCGGGTGGGCGGCTGTCCAGCGACCCGGTGTCGCTTCCCAGAGAGCAGGGCCTGTGCCGCTCGCTCCGTGCACCCAGCCCCGCGGACAGTAGGGGCACTGAGAGCATCTGTCCTGCGGGGGGGGGGGCGGGGGGCTCCATTTCTCCGGCTTTGTTTGACCCCCAGCACGCCCCAACCCCGGGCTCTGAGGCTTCTTTGCCCGAGAGGAACCCGGGGACCCAGGAGAGATGTGGCACAGGAGGGCGTGCTCGGCCTTGGAATCCCCTCACCCCCCCCACACACACACAGACACCCCGGGGAGGGTGCGAAAGGTCAGGGGGCTGGCCGGGCTGGGCCCCAAGCCTCCAGAGGAGGCCCAGCCAAGCAGACTCGCAGCACGAAGGAACGCGCGGCCCCTTGGACAGCGGTACGCCCGAGGCCACGGGGCACGCCCTTCTGGGCCGCGCGCAGGGCAGGTGGAGGCCTAGAGCCCCAGCCTTGAGCCGGGGTACCGGCCCTTCCTCGCGGCCCCTCTCTCCTCCAGTTCCTGATGACCACCAACTCCCTGAGCACGTGCTGTGAGTCGGGGGGCCGCACGCTGGCCGACTCCGGGCCCGCCGCCTCGGCCCAGGCGCCTGTCTACTGCCCGGTCTACGAGAGCCGGCTGCTGGCCACCGCGCGCCACGAGCTCAACTCCGCCGCAGCGCTCGGCGTCTACGGGGGCCCCTATGGCGGCTCGCAGGGCTACGGCAACTACGTGACCTACGGCTCCGAGGCGTCCGCCTTCTACTCGCTGGTAAGGGGAGGGAATTATCCGAAACCTTCCGCCTCCCCCGCGACGCCTCGCCCCTCCCCACCGGAATTGCCAAGCCCCCTCCCTGAACTCTGGAGTCAGGCGCGCCGGTGCCCTGGACCCCAGATTGGAGGGGGCGGGACAGGCACACCTTAGCGGCTCCTTCCGCTTTGCCGCTCCTAGTCCGGCTCCCCGGCACACCTCCAGCCCCCGGGTTTGGGGACCTCGCAGCTCTGACCACATCACCGGTCCAGTGCCCGCCCCTTCTCCCCATCTCCTGCGCGTTCCCCCACAGAGCCCCGCTTCCCTCGCTCCCCAGTCTCCCTCTTCCTCTCTAAGCACCCCACCACTTAGCCCTCTCCCCACCTCTCCCTCCCTTGCCCCCTCCTTGCCCACCGTCTTGCTCCACCCCCTTCTCTCCTCCCTCCTCCCTTTGATCCTCTGGTGTCCCGCTCACCCTCCTCTCCTCTGCCGTCTCCCAGCGCCCCACCCCTCTCCTCTACCCCTTTCTTCCGCCAATCTCATTCTCCTCTCTCCTACTCCCCCAGTTCTGCTCATTCTCCCTCCCCCTCTGGAGGTTCCTTGCTCCCTGGGCAGGAGAGACAGTCTGGGGACGGGATGGCTGGTGAGGCTGCCCGGGGGTCTGTGCAAAGCGTGCAGGAGCCGAGGTGCGTTGGGGGCGGGGTCGAGCTGGGTCACCCCCCAGAAGCTGTGACCCCAGGCTCCTGGGATCCTACAGAATGGCTTCGACTCCAAGGACGGGCCTGGATCTGCGCATGCGGGCCTCGCGCCTGCAGCGGCTGCTGCTTACTACCCCTACGAGCCAGCGTTGGGCCAGTATCCCTATGACAGGTGAGGGCCGGAACCCCTCCTCACCGCACCACACGGCCCCCTGCGCTCCATTCTGCCATCAGACTCCCCAACCCACGTCCCCTGTGAAAGCTGGGGAGATGGGAGGAGGGACAGTCTCAGGGTTGGGCTCCTGCTGACCTTGGGTTAGTCCAAGTCCCATCTCCTAGGCAAGCCAAGCCCCACAGAGGCAAATGCGTCCCCAGCCTCCCCTCTCCCGCTCCCCACGCTGTCCGCACTCCCAAAGCCCTTGCTGGACGCGGTCTTCCTGGCCGCCAAGAGTTGGTGCTTGGGCTTCGGATGCCTGCCCACCCCCAAAAGGTGCAGCCTCTGCGGTGTGTGGGACCCAGTCCACCTTCCCCTGTGGTGGGAACTGGAAGGGGGAGTCCAGTGGAACCCACTCTAAGACAGCATAACCCATCTGGGCGAGAGGAGGGCAACAGTCGTAATCGTAACTGCAGGAGGTCTGTGGAAGGCCGTGCGGGCGCTTTCTCCCCACGGGAACTGATGGCCGTTCCCGCCCATGGGTGTCATACAGTCAGGCTTGCACTTCTGTGAGGGGCTTTCCTGGTTTGCGGATCTAAGGAACTCGAAGAAGAGAGGCCTAGGTGGAGTGAGCGAGACCTAGCCGGGCCTTGAGCACTCCACCCTGACCGCTCTGGCTGAGCAGGAGCCCGGGTTCCCTGTACTGTGACAGATGCAGGCAGGAAGGGCAGTGCCTGTGGGCAGTGGCAAGGGGTGGGGGCCTGGGTCCCACCCGGTCTTACCACCGTAAGCGCACCCCCACGACGGAACCGAAAGCCTGCAGGGGCCTGGTTCCGGCTGCCGGCACCCCATTGCCCAGCCTGTCTGCAGGTACGGGACCATGGACAGCGGCGCGCGGCGGAAGAACGCCACGCGGGAGACCACGAGCACGCTCAAGGCCTGGCTCAACGAGCACCGCAAGAACCCATACCCCACCAAGGGCGAGAAGATCATGCTGGCCATCATCACCAAGATGACGCTCACGCAGGTGTCCACCTGGTTCGCCAACGCGCGCCGCCGCCTCAAGAAGGAGAACAAGATGACGTGGCCTCCGCGGAACAAATGCGCAGATGAGAAGCGCACCTACGCGGAGGGCGAGGAGGAAGAAGGGGCGGAGGAGGAAGCCCGGGCGGAGCCCCTCAGGAGCACCAAGAACGAAGGTGCGAGGGAGGTGGGCGGTGCTGGTGCTGGGGCACGGAGGTCGGAGCTCGTGGACTCCCAGTGCCTTCTGTAGGGGTTCCAGGACTCTAAAGACATGGAACCTGGGGTAGTGAAAGCAAACTTCAAGGACCTGCGCAGCAAATGAATGAGCTGACCCCAGAGGCCCTGAGCCCAGGGGGCCCGGTGCCAACGGGGGCAGGCTTAAAGAAACCCAAAACAACGTTTAAAACGTGGACACGCCCACCCTAACCCCACCCCTATTGATTTGAGGAGGAAATCGCCCACGTTGTTGCCCCTTGGGGGATGGGGAGCATCCGGAGCAGGTGGGAGGTGCAAAGAACGGCTCTGGGTGCTTTTCTGAGCTCAGGGTCGGGCCCTAGAAGCACGGGTGCAGAGCTAGGAAGGAAGTGCACGGTTCTGATTAGCTCCCGCCTCTGTCCCTGCACCGGTCTCTCCTCTCCGTCTCTCCTTCTGTTTTGCGCAGAGCCCGTGGGCAAAGAGGAAAAGGATCTGGAGCTCACTGACCTGGAGGACTTCGACCCGCTGGAGGCGGAGCCCCCCGAGTGCGAGCTGAAACCGCCCTTCCAGCCCCTGGATGGCGGTCTGGAGCGCATCCCTGCTGCACCGGATGGTCCGAGCGCCCCGGGAAAGGAGGCCTCCGGCACCCTCCAGATGCCCCTGGCTGCCGGTGGCGGGGCCCCCCTGGACCAGGACCTAGAGAGGGCCAGGAGCTGCCTCCGGACCACAGCGGCAGGGCCAGAGCACCAGTCCAGTGTGGGGGGCGTCTCGCAGGCTTGCGAGGCCAAGCTGGGCTTCGCGCCCGCTGGGGCAACGGCGGGCCTCGAGGCCAAGCCGCGCATCTGGTCCCTGGCTCACACAGCGACCGCTGCTGCCACGGCCCTGAGCCAGACTGAGTTTCCGTCATGCATGCTCAAGCGTCAAGGCCTGGCGGCCCCTGCGGCCACCTCCTTGGCTCCTGCCTCGTCCTCACCTGCGGCCGTGGCCCCCACTGGTGCCCTGGACAGGCACCAGGACTCCCCGGTAACCAGTCTCAGAAACTGGGTGGATGGGGTCTTTCACGACCCCATCCTCAGGCACAGCACTTTGAACCAGGCCTGGGCCACCGCCAAGGGCGCCCTCCTGGACCCAGGACCGCTGGGACGCTCGTTGGGGGCAGGCGCCAACGTGCTGACGACGCCCCTGGCGCGCGCTTTCCCACCCGCCGCACCCCATGACGCCCCCACCTCGGGGGCAGCCAACGAGCCGCTGGCCCTTCCGAAGGCGGGAGGCAAGCCTTTCTGCGCCTGACCGGCCCGCCCCTGAGCGGAGGAGGAGCCCAGGCTCGGCTGCAGGCCGGTGGGTCACAGACTCTTTTTTCTACCAAGTTTCCAAAGCAGGACGAGAGCATGGCAAGGTTCAGGCAGCGAACCCACCGTGGAGGGAGGAGCCGAGCTCGGCCGGGCCAGGCCACAGACCAGGGCCACCGACCCCACTCGGACATTCGGTAGTTCAGGCCATTCCCAGACTCCGGGAGCCCTCGGGCAGGGCCGTGCTCGGAGCAGAAGGGAGCCACCCTGAGGCATAAAGTTTACGAGCGAAAGTTTACATGGAGAAGACATTTCCCTTCCGAGGCGCTGTCGGTTTGCCTGTTTTCCTTCGGGTTTGAGGCTTGCCTGAGCTCCTCCTGAAGACTCATCAGCCCATGAACCTGATCGCGTCCTCTGCACACTGGCCAACAGCACTCCACCTCGTTCACACTATTGCACACTCTTAACGCGATAAAATTATGTTTTTTTTAAATGTATGTTCACACCAATAATTGCCTGCTTCAGAGGCTATTATAAGAAAACCAATAAACCGAGTGGTGGTGTTTGCATTGCAAAATGAACACGTTTCAAACCCGGGGATTAGAGCTCTCGCCAGAGGAAAGGCTCTAATCCCGAAGGGAACAAGTGGGAGAGGGGTCTTTGGGCCAGGGTCCTCGGTGAAGTTGCTGGCTGGGCGCCAGTCGCCGTGTACAGCCAGTTCTTGGAAAGAAGAGTTGGCGATGAGAGGGTCAGGACTTGTAAACTCTCCCCCAGTACAGCAGCCTCCAAAATTTTGAGAAAATAGGAGAGTCCCTCTTGCTAGATTAGAATAACTTTTAAACTTCCTCAATTCCCTGGAACTGCGACCTGGGGAGAGCGGGGGAGGGGCCATCCCTGCCCTGCGGCCCTCCCGCTGTGGACTCCTTTCAGACGGTCCTTTGCGACGGTGAGGACCCTTCGGCGGCGGGTCCCAGCGCCTAAACCCGCTTCCCTTCCCCGCAGGGACCTGCCGCAGGCCTCAAGCGTCCGCACTGGGAAAGCCCTGGGCCACGTCTCGGTGGGAAGGGGGAGGCGGGAGCGCGTAGTAGGCTGCAGGGAGGAAGCGAGGCTGGGAGTCAAGGCCTCCGGCGGGGCGAGTGACCGCGGGCTTCCCCCCTCGCCTGGGTTCCTGCGCATTGTAGACCCCGGGGTTCGCTCTGAAACACGGGCCCCCACACCCTCGGAGCCGAGCCCAGGAGCGGCCCGCACCCCTGAACTGAAGGAAAGTCGCGGTTCCCCGGATTCCGCCGACTCCGCGCCACGTCCCCCCGCCCCGCAGGCGCCTGGACCCCCGCGAGGGCCCCTCGAGGGCGTCGGGCGACCGCCGCGCGCTCCGGACTCCGGGCGCGCCCTCGCCTGCCCGCGCTCGGCCTCGGGTCCTACTGGGCCTCCTTGAAGCCGCCGGCGTCCCCAGAGGGGCAGCGGCGAGGCGAGCGCGGCTGGAAACGCACGTCTCCTCGCGGGCGGCGGCCAGCCTCGGAGGGACACGCGAGGCGGGACCTTTTTCTGCGAGGGTCGGAGCTGGCCTGGGGCCCTGAGGGGTCCCGCAACCCCGGGAAGAGGCTCGGGGCAGGCGGGATGCGCCGCGCCTGGCGGGCGGGGGTGGGGGACGGCGCGCGGCGGGGCGAGTCGGTGCGGGGAGAGCGAAGCGCGAGCAACGGGTCGCGGGCGGGCGCCGGGCGGGACCTGGAGCCGCAGCGCGGGGCAGGCGGGCGGGCCGGAGCCCGAGGCCTGTCCGGGCGGCGCGGTAATTGGATTGTATCCGCCCGGCGCTGTCACCGTATTGACTTTCGCTCTCTTGGATGATATTATCGGAGTCGGGAGCGCGGCTGATGCGCCTGTCAAAAGGCCGCGGCGAGAGCCCCCGGCCTGCGAGCGAGCATCAGCCAAGATAATTTGAAGTGAAATTTTCATTCTGACATAAACCCCTCAATTTCTAAAGGCTCCGCGCTCCGAGAGCTCGCCGGCAGGGGAGGCTTTGCAGAAAGCCCACGTCTTAGACTGAAAAGGGCAAAAGAACTCGAATTAGTTGTAATAGATAAAAGGGCAAAAATAAAGAGTCAAGGGTACTTGACAGTAATAGCGAAAGTGCGGTCTCGCGGGAGACGCGTGCAGCCGCGGCTGGGGCGCCAGGAATTTTAATGCGGCTGAGGCCGGCCGCCCGGGCCCCCCACCCCAGCCCCAGACGAAGCCAGACGTTTGCGGCAAAAATCAGGCTTCTCTGACGCAGGCGGCGCGGCGGGCGGGGTGGGCGCTGTGCGGACCCGGCCTGGGCCCTCGGCTGCCCGGGGCAGGGGCGGGTGTGCGCCCGCTGAGTCTGGACCACCCCCCCCCCCCCCCCCCCCCCCCCCCCCCGCCGCGGGGGGGCGCCCCCCCCCGGCCCGCAGCCCCCCCCCCCCCCCCCCCCCCCCCCCCCCGCCACCCCGCTGCGGCCCAGGCCTTTTGCCCTCGGTACGTCACACCCTGGGCAGGGCCTGTGCTCTGCCAGCACACCAGGGCCAGAGCCCCGCATTGCAGGAGCCCCCAGATCTTGGTGGCACCAACCAGAGAGATTCATTTGGCTAACCCGCAAAACTGTGTGAAATGAAGACTTCGGGCGGGCTGGGGGCTGTCACCTCCACCTCGTCCTTACCTCGGGTGGGGGGTAAACGGGAAGTCTCACCCTTGGGCACCCTCACCCCTCCTCGGGCCTCTGTGCCCTGGGGCGCCTGCAAGGACTGGGCTGGGATGGGGCCCTGGTCTGTAGGAGTTGGTGCTTCTGGGGGAAAGCCCCACAGTCGGGGGCAGGGGCCCCAATCCCTCCCCGGGAGGCTGTCAGGGAAGGAGCGGCAGGCGCCAGGACCGCTCTCAGCCACTCAGGCGTGGCGGATTCAAACACACCGGGAAGGGCTGAATTAACGGGCGCTCTTTACATAGAGCCCAAATAAAACTGTAATCAGCGGCGCGTTACTTTTCATTAAGCGAGTCTGACAGCAGCATATCCAGAGCCGACAGGGGAACAGGCGCGGGAAATATACGGTGCTCCCGGCCGCCTGGCCCAAGATAATTCCTTAAGCTCCATTAACAACTCTTAGCCGCGGGAAATGGGCTCCCGGAAAACGTCTCCAAATCTAAAAGCTTTATCGACCCTCCATTCGCCCATGATGCCTCTGTGTCTTTGTTTTTCTCTTCCTTTCCTCCCCCCTCCCTTTTTCAAACTTAAGGGAGAGACGTCCAGCAAGGTAATAGAGTTTGACACAACACCTTCTTAACTAGAGAGAGGGGCAGGGAAGCCCGCCCTTAAATGATATTTAAAAGGCAACCAATTAAGACTTAAAGCAGCGGCCTCCTGAGATGACGCCTGCGGTTTATCCCACCGCCCCCCACCCCCCACCCCGCCTCTCCCTGGGCCGGCTGGCCTGCTGACTCCACTCTGCCTCTCCCCCTCTTCCGTCCTCCCTCTCTCTCTCTCCCGGCATAGAATAAGAGAAGAACGGGAAGCAAGGTCTTCCAATGCTCCAGTCCCTCCTGGTGGAAGGATGCTTGCAGCCTCCTGTCCCCTAAGACAGATAATAGAGGATGAAGGGAAACTAAGGCTGGAGCCTCCTGGAAGCAGGAAGCTGGCCCCGTGGAGGTCCTGGCGGCTGGGTGCCCAGACACATTCCCTCTAGTGGGGTGTGGGTGTCCAGGCTGCAGGCCTATGAGGTCAGCCTGGCTCCCGCGGGCAGGCCTGCACGTGGAGCGACAGCCCAGGCCGGGACAGCCGTGGGGGTTGGCAGGGGGTGTCGAGCTGAACTGACCCCTTGGAGCCCGCACTCTCAGGGCAGGAGGCCCCGCCCAGCTGTCCTCTGGGCCAGGGTGTCAGGAAGGTGAGTCTGGGTCAGCTGCTGTCTCCTCCCTCGCCGGGGATGCTGGCCAAAGCATCTGTTCCCTCGGTGCCCCTAAGTGGAAGAAGCCAGAAAGCCCCTCAGTCGGGATCCGGTCCTGGGAAGCCAGTAAAACCCAGGGAAGGAACACCTTGGCCTTTCAATCTGGCCCTGTCTCAGGCCCCACTGGAAGGAGCTGAAGCAGAGGGGCCACAGGATGAGAAGGCAGGGGGAAGGGGAAAGGGGGAGAGGGGGGTAGGGAGGAGGGGAGCAGAAAGGGGGAGGGAGACTGCCTCCCAGCATGTGTGGCATCAGCTTCTTGAAGAAATGATTGTGAAAAAAATGCCTTTTCCCCGGAGGACTCTGGCTCTGGGATGAAGGGTTTATCTGAATCCCAGGACCGGACAGGCCTCTGCACACGCACCTGGGGGAGCCCTGAGCCTATGGGGCCCCCTTGCTGGTGTTGGGGAAGGATGCGTGGGCACCTCGGAGTTCCTCGGACATCGGCCCAGCCCACTCTGGACTGGAAGAGACCTGGCTCCCTCAGCAGCCAGGGAGCAGGGAGGACGCAGGTCCCTGGGCACTTGCTGCCCCGTCTAAAGCAGCCCAAACACCAACGCTGGAATTCAGAAGCGCCTTGAGGTCTTGAAACGAACCCCGAGCACCCAGAGTGGGAATTAGACCAGGAGATGTTTTCCAAGCTTTGTGGGGTCCAAGTGGGGGCCAGCACCACTGTTCCCAGCACCCCATGGTCATTCTGTTTCATTAGAGCGACGTGGTCATTCCAGGGATGGGGCTCCCAGCAGACAAGCTGAGTTTCCGCAGGATCCCCTGTGTCCACAGCTGGATGGGGCCGTGGCCTGGACTGAGCAGAACTGCCCTGCGGTTTAGGGACCCCATTCCCTCCCGGGAGATAGCGGTGATGGTACTAGTAGCACTACGGGGGCTGAGGCAGGGCGGAGGTGCGGCAGGGCAGGGGGTGCACAGGGTAGGGGTGCGAGGCCCGCTCTCCTGTACTGTGCGCTCGGGCCGCCGCACTGTTTTAAATGCATAACGCGTGTGTTCTTCACCTGAAGCCAGTGGCAGGAGCTGACCGACCTGTGCACGGTATTTGTGG